TTGTTTGACGTAAATTTTACATTGATGTATTACAAAAGGAAATCACGAATTCTCCAACATTCCAACTGACTCCATTTTCGGAAAATGACATCTGTAACAAACATAAACTTTTAGCTACCTCTTTACAAGCAGAACCACATACAATGAAAGTTCCAACTATGCACTGGCTTCCGAAGCTGCACAAAACTCCTTACTTATATAGATTTATTTCGTTTTCAATCCTTTGTTCCACTACAAAACTATCTATTCTACTTACTAATACACTTGGTACAATCAAAAACCTGGTAATAAATTGTTCAAATAAGGCCTTTGAAAGTGGAATAAATTACTTTGGGAGTGTCAAAAATTCGTTTGAAGTACTTGATAAATTGCATTCTTATATTGGTGATTTCGAATCTGTTCAAAGTTTTGATTTTTCTACCCTATATACCACGTTGCCTCATAATCTTATTAAGAAAAAAATTCACACACCTCATTAAATGGGCATTTAAAAAGTCGGAATGCGAATATATATGTTCAAACTCTTTTAGGTCATTTTTTAGTAACAACAAACAAAAGAACTATGTCAATTGGACCTGCTTTGATACTATAACTGCCCTTGAATATTTTACTAGATAACATTTTTGTTCGCTATGGAGATTCCGTATATCTTCAGGTTATCGGAATTCCCATGGGGACTAACTGTGCACCACTTATTGCGGATCTGTTTCTGTATTGTTATGAGGTACAATTTTTGACTAAAATCAGCAAAGACCCATCGAAACAACATCCGATTCAAAAATTTAATAACACATTTAGATATTTAGATGATATAATGGCTCTCAATAATGACGACTTCAGTATGTACACTAAAGAGATTTATCCTGCCGAACTACCTTTAAATAAAGCTAATACTAACAAAGAACACTGCCCTTTCCTGGATCTTAATATTTATCTTTAACGGGAAGCTTAAAACCAAATTTTATGATAAAAGAGATGATTTTTCATTTCCTATTGTTAATTATCCAATTTTAAATGGTGACGTTCCCTTGCCGCCATCTTATGGTGTTTATATATCTCAACTTGTTCGAATCGCTCGAGTATGTAACAACGTATTTGATTTCAACGAAAGAAATCTATGTATTACTGAAAAATTATTACACCAGGGTTTTCGATATCACAAACTGGTCAAAACATCAACTAAATTTTATCATCGGTACAAGGACATAATTCGTAAAAAGAAATCACCATGCAGACATCTTATACGTTCGGGTATTTCACATCCAATATTTTATAGTAATATTCTTTACAAAGCACAAAAATTTCGGCATTCACCTCAAAAGCTAACCAAACCTTTAAACAGACTTATTCGTAAAGAATATAGTTACGATACTGTTGTCAAGTCATTAAGGATTGCATATTTTGGTATTAATATTGATTCACTCATAGGGTCTTTGCATCGGAAATAAACACATTTATTCTAAAACCAGTTGTTGGCATGACACGGATTATGTTCTTCTCATATATTGTATGATGGTATGATACTAAACCCCTAACGGGAGGGATTGTACTTGATTTTCATATGATGAAGTTATAATCTTTCAATCAGTTTAATTGAGGTCTGAAGCTGGCATGTCAGTAACTGCTAGTAGTCCTTTGGTCATTTATGTATCATTGTCCTTTTGCTAAGTTTCTTTTGTTACCTAATCTGACATCGGACTCGGACTTCTTTTAAACTGAGTTTTACTGTGCGTATTGCTATGTGTTTCTTTATTCTACATTGGCTAGAGGTATAGGAGGAGGGTTGAGATCGCACAAAACATGTTTAACCCTGCCGCATTTTTGCGCTGTCCTAAGTCAGGAGCCTCTGGCCTTTATTAGTCTTGTATGTTTTTAAATTTTAGTTCATTTATATGTTTTGGAGTGTAGGGTGACGTCCATTTTCACTGAACTAGTACACAATTTTATTAAGGGGCCAGCTGAGGACCACCTCCGGGTGCGGGATTTTCCTGCTGCGTTGAAGACCCATTGGTGGCCTTCGGCTGTTGTATGCTCTTTGGTCGAGTTGTTGTCTCTTTGACATAAATTATTCCCCATTTCCATTCTCAATTTTATCCAACGTAACCACAAGGATGACCACTTCAACTAGGGTTTGACTGCCGGTCTGAAGATTAACAAAAGTGATCAGGTTTCTATTCGCCTATCACCCTTGAGGTGCTAAACAAATAAACAGAAAAATAACGGATATACTGAGAAATGTCGAAGGACCACTCACTATTCACTTTATGCACTTACCTTATAAAAAAAACTATAAATTTGTCGGATAAAAAAGTAATATAAAATCATAATACGAAAGGGAAAGAAAACCTAGTCTAGACATAGGGTGAATTGGTAGAATATAAGGTCTAAAATAATATATAGTATAAAAGATTGTCTTAAAAAAAATAGAGAATAAGAAATAATATGATAAAAAAAAAAAATATAGAAAATGGCATCTAAACTAACCAGTATAGAAATGGAAGACCTCTACACACTCAGACCCTCATCTATATGTTTCATATACAAACGAAATGCACTTAAAATTCGAAATATATCATCTGATAAAGTTATAAAAAATCATGATACGAATTGAAAAGGAATCCAGGTCAGTCAGTTGTGTGAAAGCTTGTTTTTGCACTAGCGTATACATATAATAATATCTGAGGAAACATTATCTCTATTCAATGTATTTAAGTAATTATCTCCCCTGGCTTACAAGCAGCACTAAATCATGTGACCATTTACCTTCCTTTTCCGTAGAAATGTTCCATTAAAAAAGACTTATTTAGGTATGTAATTTGTTTCATTATTTCTGTTTATCATTCAGTCATCCACACAAACACAAACACAAAATCGAACTAAATAATCTAGAATTAGTTTACCATTTTTTATTTTATTTTGATCAACTATTACGAGATATGTTCGAACACGTTAAATGTTTTACTTTATTAACCAATGTTGCCTTTTTTTAACATTTTTTTTGTTCCTCCGATTTTGTATGGAGTTTTGTCTTTACTATGGTTGTTTAGTTGACGATAATATGTCATAAAAAGAGCAGATGAAAAATATATCGTTAATCGTATTAACCATGAGCTATCATGTATACTAAGTTAATAAAGTTTAGCAACATATGATCTGCTTTGGATAGAAATCGGCTTTATGCAAGTGAACATATAAATGTACATGTTTGAGACTTTGACTGATGTCAAAACGAAATGAATAATGAGTTGTAGTCTGTTTTGTAGGGACCTTATAAAACTCATTTTTCAGTTACAGACTTTGCATAGAGTTGTTAAATCCAAAAAAGAGTAAAAGAGGGGCGAAAGATACCAGAGGGACATTCAAACTCATAAATCGAAAATTAACTGACAACGCCATGACTAAAAAAGAAAAAAAGACAAAAAAAGACAAACAATAGTACACAAAACACAACACAGAAAAATAAAGACTATAAGCAACACGAACCCCACGTAAAACTGGGGGTGATCTCAGGTGTTTCGGAAGGGTAAACAGATCCTGCTCCACCTGTGGCACCCGTCGTGTAACCCGTCAGATAACAGATGTATGAATATTCATTTGCGTAAGGTCGATTTCTATTCGACGCAGCTCATATGTTTTAATTGATAAAACTGTATATTTAAAAACCTCAAAAATGTCAGAAATGAATTATGTAATCGAATTTTTGTCAAGTAAAACTTGAACTTTATGGTTAATTTTCTTTATTTCAAACTGTATGTACTGGGGTTTTTTGGTACTAGAAGTATAGTTTATTTTTAAATTAGAACCTACAAATATCTGCTTCTAAAGTTTGTTACTTGTATCTATTCAAAGTACAAGTCTGAAGTAATAAAAAAAATGATTTTGGCCTTTTTGTTTGACTTTTGTGCACGACCCAAAAACTGGTATTTTCTGCTAATTACCTGAGCATGTGACCGTAATGAGAGTTATTGATCGTCTCTTCAGATTAGAGCAACATGTATTACATTTGGTCTGTCACTTTTTGAACTATAGCCCGAGCAAATTTCATCATCATGTCGGTCTAATTCAGGACAGGAATTGTGTAATATTTTCCCCAAGACGTTAAAATCAATTCATCATTTTCATCATAACCTATAATTGATTTAAGATTTTGAATCGCTTTATATTGCAGAAAAATATTGAAAATACACGAGATAAGGTTTAATAGATTTTAAAACTAAAAAGATGCCAATACAACTGACCATGACCTCATGCACTTTGGTTATTGATTATTTTGTATGATACGTCTACTAAGTATCAATCTAAAAGACTTTCAATACAAATTCAGTCATTATTAATAAAGTATGCGAGTCATTTCAGTGTGTTAAAATTTATTACATTGCATTTTTGGTAAAAAAAAAACACACAAAAAACCGCTTGAATTTACATACTCGATGTTTTCCATCCACCACAATGATCCGAAATCCTTATTTCAAAATCTAGGTATAGTGTTTTACATTTGCACCAACTGTGATATGGCGACCATAGTGATATTGTCACCTAGCCTGGACTTCTTCCATCCTGGCAATTAGACTCGCGTTCAGGGGGAAATCCGTGAGGGATGTATAAATACACAGCCACGTCCGACCGAAATAATGAAGTTAAATACATTGAGATCATGACTGTCATGTTCAGGGCTGGTTGAAGAACCATATCCCATAGCATCAATTATTGATCGGTCTGTAGATGACCTGTTGCGCGGCTTAATGTTTACCCTCTCTTTTAGATAGAAATTCAAAATATTGCCTGATAATACTTGTCCATCCACAATTACAGAACCTACTTTTTTTCCTGTATTGTTTATTTTGTGTTCGTTCTGAACACGCATGAAATACTTATTTTGCCGCTCAAAAGACAAATGTCGAACTCTCAATTACACGAGAATCTCTCGGTTTTGTGATCATTTTTAGATGACGGTTTGAATAGGATAATGTATTCATTTAAGTACATTCAAACTATTGTAGAATTATGGCTACCAATTGGAGTATCTGTGGTGTTTGTGATATTCTTCAGATTTCCAAAAATTCAGTAGTATGGTGTTCCAATTGTGACGAAGGACTTTGTGGAGAGTGTAAGATTCATTATGCAGTTTCCAAGGCATCAAAAAGCCATAAAACCGTTTCTATCGCCGAATACACAAAGTTACCGACTCAAGTCTTGAAAATCATTCAAAACTGCAAACTTCATAATGAGAAATACGAGCTGTTCTGTAGAAAACACGATTGTCCATGCTGTAAAAAATGTTTAAAATATCACAACGATTGTAAAGGTTTAACCGACATTAAAGAAATCATAAAAAACGTAAAAACTTCAAACGCCTTGGATGAAGTCGAACAAACTCTGACAGAAGTCGTCGAGAATATTAAACGACTCAGCACTAACATGAAAGAAAATTTGAAATCTCTAGAAAACAGGAAAAGAGAAATTGAAGAAGAAATAAAACAAACCAGGAGAAACGTTAATCACTACCTTGATAAACTTCAGGATGCCTTGGTTAAAGAATTAATGAAAGTTGAACAAAAAGAAAAAAGTAAAATAGAAAAATTGTTGACTACTCTAAAACAGAGGGAAAAAGAGATCACTGAAGCACGAGAAAATACTGCTATTATTAAACAGCATGCGTCCGAGCTTCAAACATTTTTAACCATGAAAAATATCGAAAAAGATATTGCAGTCGAAGACAAATTTATTCAATCAATTACCATAAGTGCCTCAACAAATAAAGTTAATATTTCATGTCAGATTAGCACGTCTTTAAAGCAAATCACTACCAGCGTAAAGAAGTTTGGGGATATTAATGTCAGTTCTGATCCTTGTGATGTTTCCATTCAGAAACGGAAGGATAGAGAAGCCCAGATTATGGAGCACTTTCAACCAGAAATAATGACAAACTGACTCTGAAATTACAGAAACGTATCAATACAGGGTTGTCAAATGTTCATGGTTGTTCACTGCTTCCTGGTGATAGGATGGTATTCTCCAGTTATACCGACTATAAGATAAGAGTATTCGAGTCTGACGGATCGAAAGATTTCGAAATAAAGAAAGTTGGTCCAACGTCTGATGTGGTATTTATTGGTGATGATTCTATTGCTGTAACTTCCGGCGGTTCAAATCAGATTAATATAATTGACTTAAAGAAGCACAAACTGAAGAGATCAGTTAAAGTAAATTCATACAATTATGGAGTAGTATACAAAGATGGACATTTGATGTATTGTGCCGGGGAGAAAGGAATAAAGATGATCAGTCTGAAAGACGAAACCATTACCAATGTTAGTAACACCAAACTCCAAGATTTTGCGTACGTTACAACATTCGGTGACAAACTATTCTACATAAGCTATAAACATATCAGTGTTACCTGCTGTGACTACCATGGTACCATACTGTGGACGTTCCGTAATGAAAGAGTTCTGTTGACTCCATTCGGTATATCTGTAGACAATGATGGTAACGTGTTTGTTGTGGGATTTTATACTTGCAATATGGTCATGATCTCTCCTGATGGACAACGCTGCAGACAACTCTTGTCATATGAAGATGGACTGGTATGCCCAAGGGCTGTGCATTATGACATATCTACCAATGAATTGTTAGTTGCAAATCGCTCCAATGACGCGTTTTTGTATGATGTTAAATGAAAAGAAATGAAGGTTAACTTTTCCAGAATTGACTTTCCTTATTTAACATTTTGTTGATCTTGAATACTAACAGGATTTCAAATGAATAACTTTAATTTCTGTTATCTGATTTTGTTTATTTTTTTTTCCATATTTTACTTTCATAATCTATTTAATTAAACAAATATTTTAAAATGGCCCTCGTATGGTTCTGGGAAAATTGGCCTTACCACTTTATAATCCATGCATATATCTACATATAGTTGAAAATCTAATAAAACAGGAGATACAGTAATTACAAAATTTTTTTTTCTGGATGCCTAAAATAGGGAAGAAGATGAAAAGGAACAATTAAAAAAATATTAACTTAAAAAAAACAGGAGACACAATTGGCAAATCAAAAGCTCTCCTTCCAAACAATACTTTAGAAAAAAACATAGAATTATACCACATTGTAGTATCAAAATTGTCTGTAACATCAAATTTCTAGCGTAAGATAACGTTACAGTTTTTGGAATATTTTCAATATTATTTATTTTTACATTTTCAGATCGATAAAAAAAGGCAACAGTCCTTTTGACTGAAGTTAAAAGAGAGGGCGAATGCTATACGTTGTTGTTCACATCAAATGTTTCAGTTTATGTATGAAACAATTATAATGCAGATTTAGATTCTGATTCTTTTTTCTGTCATCAAATTGATACCTTATCAATGGAAAGCACACAGATATTTTCTGGCACTCAAATGATATATACATAGTATAAAAATACGTATTTGGCATTAACTTGAGATCTGAAAATAAACTAGTTAATTTCTTACACATATGCGTGTGCTAGTCCTAAGTCGGAAACGTCGTCAGGGTTTTATGTCATATTAAATATAGTTTTAGTGTTTTAAGACTTTGATGTTGATAACAGGTCTTAGATTGGTTCTGTTTGATTTATTCACAACTTATATGCGATATAGATACCACTCCTGGCCATTTGTAAAGAAAATATTTTACCCTTTAGATGACTGGTTTTGGTTATTTATGTTGTTTGGTTACAATCTCAATGAACGAAAAACAAATATGATATATATCAACATACAACAACCACTGAATTACAGGCTCCTTACTTGGGACAGACATGTGTAGTAAGTGTCCAACCCTCCACTAACCTGGGGAAGTGAAGCCCCATGTTTCATGGACGTTCAACTCAGACAAAAACATATCCTAAAAGTTAAATAACGAAAATACTGAACTCCGAGGAAAATTCAAAACGGAAAGCTCCTAATCAAAATGCAAAATCAAAAGCACAAACACATCAAACGAATGGACAACTACTGTCATATTCCTGACTTGGTACACGCATTTTCTTATGTAGAAAATGGTGCATTGAACCTGGTTTTATAGCGCTAAACTTCTCAATTGTATGACATTCGCATCAAATTCCATTATATTGACAACGATGCGTGAATAAAACAAACAGACATAATAGGTAAAAATGTCAAAATAAACGCACAGCAAACAGTAAACTTATAAAAATGACCATATAATTGATATTCATGTCAACACCAGCAGTGGCATCGACCATGTTGTGTAAATAGTTATCAAAGGTACCAGGCTTATAATTTGATACGCCAGACGCGCGTTTCGTCTACATAAGACTCATCAGTGACGCACAGATCAAATAGTTAGAAAGCCAAAACAAAAGTTAAAGAGCATTGAGGACCTAAAATTCCAAAAAATTGTGCCATATACGGCTAAGGTAATCTATGCCTGGGATAAGAAAATCCTTAGTATTTCGAATAAGTCATACTTTTGCAAACGGTAAATTTATAAAAATGACCATATAATTGATATTCATGTCAACACCGAATGTCTCTTCAATAAGGCTAATAATAAAACATCTGTTGAAGAGCTGATTAAACAAACAAGGACAAACCATGACAACACGGACAAGGAATGAAAAATGTGAGTGTGGGAGATACATTCCTTCATTTATAAGTAAAAATCATTCAAAATACTAAGTTTTTACAACTCAAATACATAGATGAATAGTATGCTATATTAAGGTAAATAAATTTGTTCACCTAACATGGCATATGGCAGTACAGGTAAGTTGAATTAATTATTTTGGATGATATATAAACATTGTTTGTTGTTAAACAATCTTAATTAATTAAAAGTGAATTCTATATAATTATAAAGCTGTGAAATATTTTTCTCACGTACAGTTTTGTCGTTAACAAGTTATCATTTTTCACGGTGATAGATGATTAAAAAATTGTCCTACTTAAGTCCAATTTGAAAATAAATACACTTTGGCTTAATATTCTGCTTGGAAGAAGTTATTGCCACACTGCTGATTTTTAATCACTGCATTTGATTTGTTTAGGGATACCTGTAAAATAGCTGATCTATTGATGAAATAATACAACAAAAGTTCCTTTTCTTTTCAATTTAAAATTATGTAGACGTGTAAAAGTACTATACTGCTGTTCAATTGTCATAAATCGATTTAACCAAAACAAATCCGGGTCACAAACCAAAACCGAGGGGAACACATCAACTTTGTAAGAAAAGCAAGAGAACAACAGAAACACTGAACTGCTACAAAAACTAACGCCAACATAAAATTGAGAATGGAAATGGGGAATATGTCAAAGAGACAATAACCCGGCCAAAGAGCAGATAACAGCCGAAGGCCACAACTGGGTCTTCACCGCAGCGAGAAAATATCGCACCCGGAGTTGGTCCTCAGCTGGACCCTAAATAAAAATGTGTACTAGTCCAGTGAAAATGGACGTCATACTAAACTCCAAAACATATAAATGAACTAGAATTAAAAAACATACAAGACTAACAAATGGCCAGAGGCTCCTGACTTAGGACAGGCGCAAAAATGCGGCGGGGTTAAACGTGTTTTGTGAGATCTCAACCCTTCCCTATACCTCTAGCCAATATAGAATAAAGAAACACAAATACATAGAAACGGACTATTTGATAAAAATTGAATGCATAGACTGGATGATTTTTATGAACAGTTCAATTACTTTGTGATCGTTTTCGATAACTACGAGCTTTCTTGAATATGGCACACAATTGTTAATCATGTTAATTGTACTATTGTTTTTTTTCTGCTTATGATATTTTGTTATCCGTTATCCGGTAAATTGTTATTTTTTATGTACGGATGTTTTTGTGAACCTTTAGTTAGTATTTTGATGGATACTCTAAAGGTAAGATAACTATCTAGAAATCCCTACCACATTTCCAAGTCAGGAATCTCGTTAGTGGGGGCTGTTTTATGGCAAAACGTTTTTCTATTACTTGGATACGTTTAAGTTGATGCCAGGTGTTGACAATAATGTTAAGTTACATCCCAATTATCGTTAATTCGGGAAGAATTAGAGCTTGACACATTGCATATATATCTGTCTATTGTTGAAGGCTGTGTGTTGCCCCCGGGTGTTTGTTGGTTATTTTATATTTTGGAACGTTGTTTCACTGTTGTATACCTCATACCTTCTTTTATTTACAGCAAACAAGGTCGAACAAAAGTGTGTTATGACCTAAAAAAAAGGTTCATTTTATTATTTTATAATGAATTGCGAACAACTAAAACTTTTTAACGATGACATGGGTGATAAATCAAAATACATTTTTCGCATAATTAATTACAGTATAAAAACATAAAATGACCTCAGTTTAAATAGAAGGCTTGCATACTCCAAGAGATTTTTACAATTCAAGGTAAGATTTGGATTAATACAATTGTTTCAAGACATTCATTGTCTTCTATTCTAACAATTCGAACTAACAATTATTTGGGACCATCCTAAGTCGTCGTCACTACTATTTCATTTGCTTGTCCTTAATAAGTTATTATAAGTGTTTATGAAAGATCTTAGTTAGAATCTGTTATGAATAAATAAGTAAGGACAATAAATACAGAAATCGGTCCATTTTCATCATTATACAAAAAGGAAATTTCAAAATAAGATGTAACTTTTAATTATATTAACTGGTATGTATCAACAGATGTTTTCGGCACAGAACACATTTTGTGATAAAATAAAAATAAAAACAACACGTTAACATTTCATACGTTTCTGTATTTAACTATATCAGCAACGATCAAAGCCGAAAATTTGAAAGGCAATGTTGTAAAAGAACCGTATATAAGAACAGTTGGTTGAAGAGCGATATGACAAAAAAGGACCTAAAATAGATAAATCTATAATATAAGGTCAATTTGCGTAAAGGATTTGAAACCTTAGTTTTCTTTTTATAATTTCAAAATTTTAAACGGACAATATTAGAATTCTATTATAAATCATATTTGTACCCAAGAATGTAACACAAGTACCAAAGGGTCATTGTTAATTCAAATATGTGTGATGAAAAAAGGGTGAATGGAAAAGAAACATTCAATAGATGAAAATTAAGCAAAAGAGTATAACAATAGTGCTTTTTAATTCTACCTTTTTGGACGATTGCGCATAAATTAAACTGCCATTCTGTCAAATATAAAAACAACTTTTGCAC